GATTAGCGAAATTTCTGAATTTAAATTCGAAGTGAAACATATGGGGGGAGATAAAATGACTCATGTCGATGCACTTTCGCGCGCGCCCGTAGAGGAAAATACAGACGAATCAAAACCGATAGATCAAATACGATACATTGAAACTCGTGAAGATGAAATTTTACTTCTTCAAAGAAATGATCCAGAAATAAAAATTATTATTGATAGTTTGAAAAAAGGAGAAAAAGAAAAAATAGAGAAGACAAACAACTATGTCATGACTTTGAATTAAAAGAGGGATTTTTGTTTAAAAAAATAAAACTGAATGATGAAGTTAAGGAATTGTATTATGTATCTAAAGCTATGCGTAAATCTATTGCGATAAGGTATCACGATTTACAAAGCCATTTTGGGCTAGATAAAACCTTCAATCGAATCAAAGAATTTTATTAATTTCCGAAAATGCGTCGATATCTAAAAACTCATATTAAAAATTGTCACTAGAATGCATCTTAGCAAAAAAGAAATCTGGTCGAAAAGAAGGGGAACTCCATCCTATACCACCGGGTAGACGCCCATTTGAAATTATACATTGTGATCATTTGGGACCTTTTCCGACTTCAACTAAGAAAAACAAATATGTTTTAGGAATAATCGATAATTTAACTAAATTTGCTTGGCTTGCACCAGTGTCAAATGTCAATGCGAAAAGCACTGTAAATAAAATAGAAAAATTTGTTAATCTTTTTGGTGCACCGAGGAGAATTATTAGCGATATTAGATATTTTGCAGTTTTAGATACAGTCGCCTATCCAGTTATATATAGAGATCAATGAAATTTCAACCCCCACCCTGAGGGCGTTAACTTACCCTTTAACGCCCAACTGGACAAAATTTTGGCATGAAGTTTGAGGACTTATTTCGGTACTTAAAAATCAAAAGAGAAATTCACGAATCATCATTTCTTATGTTTCATATGCGCTCTATCGAATGGCGTTAAAAAAAGTCAAAATTTATAAACAAAAAGTTATTAATGTTTTTTATAAAAAAAGTCCGATTTTTTTAAAATTTTTGTTTAATTTTCAATTTTTTCTACTATGAAATAGCGGGAAAATAATTCCAAATGTTACAAATAACGTGACATAGATATATAACCTAGAAGCAAAAAGGCTAGAGACAGGAGGTGAAACTTGGGTAGTGGGGATGAGTCAAAAGCCTTTCATTAACCAGGTGTTTTTCGTTTCGAAAAGTCGCCGGCGCGGTGCTTCTGCACATCACTCACACATTCAAATTCTTGTATACCATATGTTTTACATGTGTATGATATGATTTAAATTTGAGGTTAATTTTAAAGTGCAATAGAGACACAATGTGTGTCATAACGGATATATAGAAATAATGTGAGTGATTATTAAATTAAGTGTTATTTAAATAGTTAAAAATTCCGAAAACGTGCTGTGTGAAAAGTTGTAACAAGAAGAAAGATAAACACAACACTATGACTATTACTTTTTGTTAACTTTCAATACACTTCATGCCACGGTTATATTTCATATTGTATTTGTATAGAATATATTTTCCCGTGTTTACGTGTGTTAGATTGCGCAGAAGTCCGTCTGGTCTACTGCGGCGAAAACTTTTTTTGAAAGTAAACGCCTGACCATACATCAGCTGAGCGATTCAGCATTGACATACCCCCACTACCGAAGTTTTACCTCATGTCTCTAGTCTTCTTGCCTAGAAGATAGGACTATAGAGAAAATTAAAAATTAAAATGGCGGCTCAAAAATGGAATTTGAAGTTCAAATTTTTTTTCAAAATTTGATTCGAATGTACGAAATTGTTAAAAGTGTTTAGATCAGCTTGAAACTTGTTACTCGGGGGTTTTAGGGGTCGCTGATCACGAATTATAAATTTATAGAAATTGTAGAATTATATTTTAATATTTACAGTGAGTTCCCGCAATCTGACTAAAGTCTCGAATTTTTCCTTGGTGGCTTATTCGGTATATGACCATCCCGTCAAGCGCTCCCCCTCCACCAAGATCCTAGCAATTTCAGGGACGTAGGACGTAGTCCTAGCAAATTTTAACTTTTTTTTGGCTCTAAACAAAATTTTTATGCCGCCTTGTCACTACGAGTAACCACGAAAAACTAGGAGGCTCTTTCGGCACTGAGCGCGCGTCAAAAGTGAAAGTACGGTTGGTCAGGTAGCGAAACCGATTTAAGCCCATTAAAAGTCAGTTGACGAAATTCGTCAGATAGCGAAATATTCATATTGCGGGAACTGACTGTATTTACATATTTTATATTCAAAATTTTTAGGATTGTTTATTATGAATTATTATAATTTATTATTGATTATTATAATAATATATAATATATCAAATCATATTATTCAAAATAATTAAAAACATACAATAATATAAATATAATTATTAACCCTTAAACCGCACACTGCCGAATCCATCCTTAAACCGCACACTGGGTGTGCGACACCCAGGGACTTTTAAGTGTGTTTTCCAAGCTGGAATAGGATATTTTCTTTTGGAAAAATTATCTTATACAGCTCAGTACGTCTATTTTGAAGGAAAATAGGTTTCATAATAATTTATTTAATTTTAATAATTAAAAAAAAAATTTTTTAAACTACTGAAATTACCTCAAACCGAAAATTAGGTGTCAGCCCCTCATAAATTTTTCGCTTTCAACTTCATAAAGTTTTCAAATACGCAAAGATACATGGGAGACAAATATTACTCACGGAACATAAACTTAAGTACAAAATGTACCGTCCAATAGCGACACATGTTTAATTTTTGCAAATATAAACGATATATTGGTGTAAAAAGCAGGAATATGGGTGTCGCACACCCAGGGTGCGGTTTAAGGGTTAATCGTTAAAGAAGTTTTTACAGTAATTAACAGAAAAAAATTTGTTTGGTTTAATTATTATTTTCATTAAATATTATAATTCTTCTATACATGAGATAAATTAAAAATAATAAAATGGAAATAAGTGTAAAATAGTCCTTAACGCATACTGAAATACTCTTTAAAATTCTAGAATATGTTGAGCAAAAAAATTTGAGATTTATAATTTTCAAAATATTGCACTTTTTCTCGCAAGCGGTAAAGAAATGTTTTATTTAATATATAAGGACGATGAAAAAGTAGATTTGTAGCGTGCGAAACTGCGAAAGCGTAGGGTAATATGCGTGTTAGTGTTAGTTATTTAGTTTGACGTAGGAAATTACTGTTTAAATAGTGTTCGATTACATGTGATAAGTGTCGTGATTATGTATAAATGTACAAGTGTAATTAAATATAAGGCATAATAAGAATAAAATAAATAAGAACTGAAAGAATTTTTTTTTTTTATTGGTCGGCCGAATTTTTCATTTTCCGCGACTGTCGATGAAAGTTTAGAATACTATATAGAACAAGATTTCCGCGACTGTCGCCAAATCGTTCGCGGGCCGGCTGTGTTTTCATTTTCCGCGACTGACGCTGAAAGTTTCGAATCCTTTTTCCAAATTCTCTTCGAATGTAGTTTATTTTTCCTGCAACCTGTTAATATGATTTTTAAAACTCAGTGATTTTAAAAATTTAAATACTTTCCACTAAATCCGAGAGTCTTTTACAAAGTCGCGGAAAATTTCAGCAACTAATTTTTTCCGCGTACATTTAAAAAATTGTTAATTTTAATGTTATTTAAAAGGGAATGGTGTAGATACTAGAGTTTACAATTATTAATAAATAATAAGAACAATATTTTTAATATTTAACGTTTTTATGACGTTACTATAATGATATTGAAAACAAATAATACTTTCTACTTCATTTAACGATTATAATCGTCATTTTCCAATTGCAGTGTCAGTTTGCAACAGTAATATATTGCTGGTTATCTCATGATGACAATATACTGAAAACGTTGACATTACAACACAAACATAACCTTATATAGAGTTTTACGCTTCCTGGTGAATCCATCGAGTGAATAAAAAAAATGTCCGTTTTCGAGAGGGTAGAAATTCCTTTCTTTAAAATTAAGCATTTAAATCATAATTTTCTTGAAAACAGACAACTTTTTAAAGGCAATTTTTATTCTAATAGAGTTGTCAATTCAATAGTAAAACACAAATTTCTTCAATTTTTGAAATTATACATTTTTTTAAGAATTAATGTTAAAAGAAAATATGCGCATTTAACGTAACCCTAAAACGGCACACTTTTACTTGTTTTTCCCATCAATTAGTAGGTTTTATCCAAACAAATTGTACTAGCGGAATTTTTAAACATATTTTTTTCACTTCTTGTAAAATCATGAAATTAGCGTTTGATCCCTTTTGTCATTTCATTTAATAATTATAAATAAAGAATGTTCATTTATAATTATTATCGTTAAATTTTAAATTACTAATTTATTGTTGATTCATAAATGATAATAATTGATCATACTTATTGAATCAAATTTATGTACAAATTCCTACATGAGATTATAAAACTAATGACATATTTGTAATTAAAAATATACTTAAACTGACATTATGTTAAATCGAAGTATGAGGAAAGAAACTTATAGAAGTTTTTAATCTTGATTTGCATGTTACAAAAATTGCTTACTTCATCTTAAATAGGAAGTTTAAAATATTTTTCTTTTCATATTAATAAACATTTGTAAGTCAATATATATGAAATGTACAAAGAGAAATATAGTAAATCTAAGATCAAGACGAGAGGTCATCATAATAGTTTATGTATCACAATAAAAAAAATTTCTAACAATTTATGTTTGACCCATGAAAAATGCATGTCCACATTGTAAAAGATTTAATTAGTTTTTTCCAGTTATTACCATAAAATAAATCATTTATACATAATAAAAAAAATTTCTCAAAATACGTAAGTATTTAAAAAACAGTAACTTTAAATAGTTTCATAACGTACCTTAACTTAAATATGTCTTTAATTAAAAATGTACTTAAATATAATTGATTCAAAAGAGAATTTCAATACTTTTTACACAAAAATATTTAAATTTTAGTACATTGCATACATAATAGAAATGCTATTATTATAACAATGAATATTAATAGAATAATTTTAATATCGTCAAATATACATATGTTTTTTATAATCAACCATTTTCACAGTTATTATTCCAGAAGAGACAATTTCCTATTCCACTGTAACAAATAAGAAAGACTGCTGTGAGAAAGATTGCTGTACACATCGTACATGGTTTTTGCTCTAAAAAGAACCCAATCAAATAGAGCACCATGAACATAACATGCGTTTGTAGCAGTGCAGGATTAACGGGCTTTGGTATTAACAGCACAGGAATTAACCACTGTATACAGTACATCCTTTAAGCTTTCCCTATTGTGGTTTTTTCTCTATACAACTTATCACCAAATTGACAGTAATCTGTAAAAATATTATAGCATATTAAAATGTTCTATTTACAAACATCGTTTTTAATTCGTATCAATTTGAATTATTTTTATATAATTAGTTTTTGAAGCTATCTAGAATTTAATTTTATTTAATTGAGGGAGGATATCAAACATTAGCCTTCGTAATTCTTTTATTAAAATAAGATAAAAAATTTTAGTTATATTTAAAACTAGTTATGAGGATTTTGAAATTTCGAAATTCAATAATTATATCTAACTATAAATATTTTTGTATAATAAATTTTCACTGATAAATTTCGAATTGTTATTTAGCCAATTTTATTCACACAAAAAATGTGCTGAATAGTATGCTCCAGTGCAAAAATTCATTTTTTGAAAAACTCAAAATTCCGGAAACAAAATCCGAAAAACTTTTTAAATCTACACGGAGAAAAATAAATAGTAATAATTATACTATTTTCGATGAAAAATTACTACTGTAAAGTAGTAATTTTGAAACTGCTCAAGAAATAGTAACTTTTGCACTGAGAAAAATGGATATTAAGCCTTATTATCTAGATATTAATGGTCAATATCTGTGACAGTGAACTATGTAAACTTCTTAGATGTTCAAATTTAATATCTATAAGATATTGGAAAAAGACTTGTTCAAACATAACCTCACATTTACAGATTATACTTTTTAACATCTGATGGATGATATGCATTAGCATCTTTTCTTAAATATCTAGTATATTAAGAGTTTTAATATCCAGTTTTCTCAGTGTGCTTCGTTTTCAAACGATTTTTACTTTTTTAAAAAAGTATAATTTACTTCAAGGAATCTAAATTTTATTAAAAGCCGAGTAATATTTAAAATGTCCCGAGCAATTAATACTCTGAGCGAAGCAACTTTTATTACGTATCAGAGCAATTATTACTATTTCGTAAAGATTTTTACTCGGAAAAGTAGTAATCCGTACCCACACAATGACGCGTCTCACACCGACGGGTGAAACGAATGCCGGCGCGCCTGCGCTTCTATCCACGTCGTGACGAAAAAAATGCTGTTGTAGAGAGCTATATTGTGTCGTTTTATTTTAATAAATTGAAATAAAATAATCAATGCGTTCAAAAGATATTTTTCCAAGTACTTAACACTCTACATGTGTATTATTATTCATTATTCATAAGCTTCACTCTTTTATCATATTCATACTTACAATTAACACCCGTGCAGAAAATGCCCCACTTTGCCCTATTTAAAACAGGGTTCTGGTCGGGGCCTGGACAGTTTCCCCTATTAAATTTTTTTTAATAAAGTTTTTAGAATTCCTTTTTGTTGTAGAAGCTATTATCAATGAAAGGCAATCATTATTTTAGTTATTTAATAATTTTTTTATTTTAGGGGTTTGACTAGAATTCCTAACCAGAACCCCAGGTAGGGTGTTCATTAGATTTTAGATAGGGTACTGATCAGGGCCTCGACAGTTTTCCTTGTTTAAATAAAGTGTAAAAAAATTAAATCTCTAAAATTACTTTTAATAACAAATAATGAACAATTGAAGAATACAATTAAAGAGAGTAATTATACTATCGTTTTAATAATTTTTTTATTTTGTGGGTTTGACCAGAATTTCTTGCCAAAACCTCAAGTGAGGTGTTCATTAGATATTAAATAGGGCTCTGATCAGGGTCTCGACAGTTTTCCTCGTTTGAATAAAGTGTAAATGAATTAGGTTTTTTAAATTAGTCCCCATAATAAAATTATAAACAATTGAAGAAATTAATTAAACGGAGTAATTATACTACATTTTCAAGAATTTTTTTATCTTATGGGTTTGACCAGAAATTCTGGCCAAAACCCTAAGTGGGGTGTTCACTAGATATGAAATGTGGCTCTGATCAGGGCCTCGACAGTTTTCCTCGTTTTAAAAGCATGTAAATAAATTTAATTTTTTAAAATTAACTTTTTTAATAGAGTTATTTAAGTTAAAAAAGCGTGTTCTTTTAAAACACTTTATAAAATAATTATGGTAATATATTTAAAAAACGAAAATACATATAATTTTTTTTCCTTTAAGTACAATATTATAATAAAGTTTATTTATTAATAATAACAACTAAATTATAAATAACGAATAATAATAGTTATTGAATAATTAATTATTATACATTTATTTAAAAATAAAAATTATGAATTGAAAAAATAATAATTAATAAACAATTATTAACAAATTATACTTAATGAATTTTAATAATTATTAATTTATAGGATGAATTTATCATTTGGTTTGTATATATATATTATATTATTTTAATAATAATAATTATTTTATATTATATTAGCTTAAAGTAAGAAAATGATTCGGAGAGATTGTTAAATTTAACACCTTCAATATTTAATAACTATTTTTTAAACATAATTAATAAATTTGAATAAAATATTTATTAAATAAATATTAATTATTACTTATACATTTGAAAACAAAAATTATAACATTTATTAATATTATAAAATTAAGGAGGCAGAAAGGAGCGACAACCTCCAAAAGAAAAATAAATTAATCATAAAACCAAAAATTATATTTTTCAAAAATTTTTAAGTTTTTCTATTCTTGAAATTATATTATTTTTATCATTTTCACTTTTAAATTAGTCAAAAAGACTATAATACCTCATTATGTTATGTATAAATATGTTGTGCACTGCAAAAATAAGTGTCTTATTTGATATCTTAAAATAAGATGTACGATGGAAAAATGGTATCTTACATCTTAAAATAAGATGTTTTCTAAAGTATCTTACTGATTTTTAAGATGTTTTATACGTCTTAGATATTTCTTCTATCTTAAAAAAGTAAGATACTTCTGTAAGTTTTTTAAAGTATCTTAAATTAAGATGTTTCTGTCTCAATAAGATGTTTAGCGATAAGATACTTGTGAATTGTAAGATGCGAAAAAAATTTAAGTTACTAAAAACTAAGATGCATAAAATGTCTTACATATAAGCCCATAGTTAACCTCAAAACTTTTTTCCCGAAAAATATGCTGAAAATATGTACGAAGATGCTTTTAGTATCTTAAATTAAGATATTTTAAATGACTAAAAAGTGACTACAATAACATCTTAGAAATGACTACCGAAACATCTTAAATAAGATACTACTTTTTGCAGTGTGTTTATTATGTCAGTTTCTCTACCCAGAGCCACACCAGAGATCGGGAAAACTGTCAGTATCCTATCAGGCCCACATTTTAATTTCTGCACGGGCAACTTAACATATCGGAAAATCTTAACATCTAAACAGATTCAAACCCTATCTAAATTATATCTAACGCAACCTAAAATCGCACGCATTTACACTAATCCTCACGGCTACGCAATGGCTATGGAAAAAGATTTCGGTTATTTGCATATATCCCTTTCCCATGTAGCACGTAACATTACAGTAATATTACCCGGTAAAATTTCTGTAACATTACTGTAATATTACATACTTAAGAAAAAATTGAAAAAAAGTTTATTTTCTAACGATAAAATGAAAAAAAATTTCTTGTTTATTCATTAGATATGCATTTCACAGTTATTTTCATTTACTTTACATGCTCGTGCAATATTACTGTAATTTTAAATTAATTTTGCTCTAAAAAATTTACTTTAACATTACTGTAATTTTACTATATTTATTTACATACACGGAAAAAATTAGTCGCTGAAGTTTTCAGCTACTAATTGAAGACTCTCGGATATGAAAAAAAACTTTACGGACTTTTTGAAATACTCTTCGCTTCTATCAGAAATTCTCTGAAAAAAGTTGAGGACTTTTTATAAACCTAGTAGCGGAAAATAGTCGTAGAATTATTGTAACACTTTGATAGAAATTTTCGTCGACGAGTCGCGGAAAATGATGCGCAGAAAAGATGCGCAAACTCTCAGGCGGTAAACGTCACGTGAAATAATTTTGACTGACTTCGTTTACGTATTTTTTATTTTTATTTATTTTATTTTTATTTTATTTATTTTTATTTATTTTTTATTTTTCTTTATTTATTTTTTATTTATTTATTTTTAAAATTTTTTTCTTAGCGATTTCAAATCAATTATTAAATAAAAAAATTATAAAAAATAAAACAGTTTGTACAGGTATCATTACTTTTCAATGAGAAAGTGACTATTTTTATTTTCATTGGTATCGCGCACCTTTACGATGGAGGAGTTTAAAAATCCGATAAGAAATTTAAAATAATTTGTGACAATTAAATACCAACTTTAAATGAATATTTTGTTTCATCAAAAAATATAATCACTCTCGAGCTCATTTCATTATAATTAAATTGTAAATAATACTTTCAATACGCACATTATAAATTTATAGAAATTGTAGAATTATATTTTAATATTTATTTACATATTTTATATTCAAAATTTTTAGGATTGTTTATTATGAATTATTATAATTTATTATTGATTATTATAATAATATATAATATATCAAATCATATTATTCAAAATAATTAAAAACATACAATAATATAAAATATAATTATTAACCCTTAAACCGCACACTGCCGAATCCATCCTTAAACCGCACACTGGGTGTGCGACACCCAGGGACTTTTAAGTGTGTTTTCCAAGCTGGAATAGGATATTTTCTTTTGGAAAAATTATCTTATATAGCTCAGTACGTCTATTTTGAAGGAAAATAGGTTTCATAATAATTTATTTAATTTTAATAATTAAAAAAAAAATTTTTTAAACTACTGAAATTACCTCAAACCGAAAATTAGGTGTCAGCCCCTCATAAATTTTTCGCTTTCAACTTCATAAAGTTTTCAAATACGCAAAGATACATGGGAGACAAATATTACTCACGGAACATAAACTTAAGTACAAAATGTACCGTCCAATAGCGACACATGTTTAATTTTTGCAAATATAAACGATATATTGGTGTAAAAAGCAGGAATATGGGTGTCGCACACCCAGGGTGCGGTTTAAGGGTTAATCGTTAAAGAAGTTTTTACAGTA